TAAGACAAGTTATTTTTTAACATCAAAATATTCGCAGTGGATCGTTCAAGACGTTAAAACTATCTTCGGTTTCTTTCCTTCTAAATATGAGCAATGCAATAATTTCACGTCAATTTCGAAAGGAGCGATAGCAAGGACTTCCTCTTCAATCTACAATTAAACCGGTCTAATTCCAAACATCAATCCATAACATTCCTACTAATCGGATAGTCTTTTAGAATATTATCCCAAACAAGATTGACCATAGAGAAGGAGCTCTCCGGTAGATCTTGAAGCACGACAGCTTTAACCCGAAGGGAGAGCAAGCTTCACCACGTCTAGCTGCAGCATTGAGGCATCTCAATCTGTCAAAAAGACCCATCTTTAAGAATATCACCTTTACTATGGGTGTTCAAACAATTAATTCAATCATCGATCGAATCGAATTAATAAAATTTTTCTCCTTTAAGTGTTAATCGAACATATTTTTTAAATTATAAACTGAATTAAATAAAGTTCGGTTAGTTCTATCGGTGATTGAATTGGTCAATTTTTATTTTTATTTTTTTAGTTATATTATTTTGAATTTAATAGAGGTATTTTTTTTTTCATTTGTGTTAAATTTTGATTGAGTCTTTAAAGTTTAATAAGTCTTGTGTGATTAAAAACTAGCTGAATAGTAGTTTTTCAAGGGTTTAAACTGAATATATATTTATATAATAAGTTCCATTCGTAAACGTCATGATTCGATTATTTTTACTTAGAAGATCTAATGTCTTATTCTAAATTAATAATTTTAGCTAATGATGTTAATTAATCGATTTTAAACGAGATTAATTATTAATTAAATTATACAGATATTCATAAATATCAACTGATCTGACATTAAATTAATTGACTAATTAATCGAATTAAATTTTGATTTAATTAATTTGATTAAATCGAAAATGAACACCCTAGCCTTTACTGATTGCATTTAAGGTGTGATTTCGTCTCAGCTTCATTGATTATCTGCGAGATCTGGGTGTTGGGTCAGTTTTAATTTGCTTTTTCCTCGGCTTTTGTTATTTCTATGACTAATGATATAATATTTTATATAATTATTTAATTATATTTTGAAGGGATTGTCATTAGTTTTTTTATCTTTATAATCAATGATTGCATCAATTTTAGTAATAAGATTATTGATATTCATTATTTTTTTTATTATGTCATATTTTAATTTTTTAGTTTTTAATAATTTTATTTTATGACATATTTTTTTATATTTATGATTTATTTCTTCTATTTTTGACATGTTTTCAGTTATTTGATCATAATTTTTGTTTATAATTTGTTTAGGGTTAGATTTGACACCATCACAATTAATTAAGATGATTTTTATTTGTTGTCATAATGATCTTCGCTTTGGACCATTCGATTGGATTTAGATACACAATTTGTGTTCATGGTTAATTTTCTCACGTCGCTCGATTTTGATTTACGATTTGTCGGTAATCTTTTAATAGCTTGATCATTTTTTGTAGTTTTTTATCGATACGACCAGATCTATTTATATATACCTTTTATTCGAGTTTGTTTGATTAAGTTTTTAACATTTTCCTTATATAGTTTTTGTATGATTTTAAGTGTTTAATTTATTATGTTAATTATTATAAAAAAAAATTCTTATTATGTGTTTTAATTTATAATTATGACTGTAAAATTTTATTATAATTTTAATATATATATATTTTTAATAAAACTAACAACTTTAATCCTGTAAAAAATATATTTTTGAAGGAATAAGTAAATCAAATTGTAAACGTGTGTTTTAAACTTTTTGTTTTTATTTTCGATAAAGAATAAAAAAATTACTAACAACCTTCCACTTGCAGCTGTGCGTCACATGATTGCTTGGTCATGGGTGGCACGAGTTAAATGAGTTATTATTTTGTCAATAAATAAATGTTCAAATTAATTTATTATTATAATACAATTGTTTTATTAAACAGAAATATATTATATTTAAAAAATAAATATCAAAATCCAAACTCATATAAAATATACAATATATTTTTTTGACAACTTATCAATTAATAAATCTCACAAATCACAATACACCCTTCTTATTGTAAAAAGTCTTATATCTAAAATAAATTATTCTTTTATTTTTAAAACAATAAATGTTTAATTTATTATATTTATTTTTATATAAAAATATTTAAAATAATATAAAACACAATAAGACTAAAATTATGTTAAAAAAAGTAAATATAAATATTTAGTCTTATCAAATAATACAATTATTTTAAATATTTAAATTTACAATATGTATATTCAGAGCTTATAAAATTGGTTAATTGTTTACTAAATTAAGAGCACTCTTATCATTTTTTGTCTTTAAATATATCAAATAATACTAAATATAATTTTTTAATAATTTAATAAACTTTTATTGAATTATTATTAGAGTAAACTACATATTTAGTCATCCACCTATTTTTTATGTTTTATTTTGGTCATTTAACTATTTTTTTAATAATCATATTTAATGTTACGTTTTAATTTACTACCGTTAAAAACTTAACATAATTATTAATGTGATAATTATTTTTATTTTTTTAATGATGACGTAATATTCTCTTATGACGACAAGCCAACATCACCGTTAATTTTTTAAAATAATAAAAATATAACATTAGATATGATTTAAAAAAATAATTAAGTGACGAAAAAAGAACTATATAAATAGATAAGTGACGCAGTTTATAGTTATTATTATTTAATAAATAGAATAAATTTGTTTTTGGGAAAAAACATAATGCAGCAAATTATAGATGGAGAGAGAAAGAAAAGAAGAAAAAGACAGATATGATGGGCCAGCAAACACAGCTATTTATCGTGGCGGGTTCCACGTTACCTTCTCACCGACAACAACACCATCTGTCATACGGAACACCACCACCTTCTTCTTCTTCCAATTCCGCTCTCTCAGAATTATATACCCTGCCTCACCCGATTTGATTTTACTAACCCCTCAAATAAAGACGCTCAATTATGGATGAATTTGGCGTTTTAACCGAGCATTATGGCTTAAAACCCCAAGGAAAATCGGTTCCAATGTCACAAGCCAAACTATCCACCGCCACTGCCACCGCAACCACTCGTCAGACTGTTGGGTTCAGTTCAGGTTTAACTGGGAACTCCACGTCCTTTTCTTCGAAATCTTCCTTCAATTCGACTGCCAACAACGGCTCTTTCCTTGATGATACCGACTTTTTCCCCAACCAAAACTCCCAAAGTTCTTTTGGTTTCGGAGACGATTCTGGTTTTGATTTTGGCGGTTTCGGAAACCCCACAAAAAAGCCACCGAATACGAGTAATAATAGTGGTGATGGGTCTTCATTTGATTTAGCTTCAGTGCTGTTGAATTCAGGTCCAAATCTTCCTCCACGAATTCATACGTCATTGACGATTTATTTGGAGGAATGCCTGGCTCACAAACTGCAAGTCACGATGACGGTTTTAGACTTTTTGCCTCATCCACGAAGCAAAAGGGTACGGTTGGTGATTTGTTGGGCGGTTTTAGTGATGTGGCGGCGAAATTGAAGAGTTCTAGCAGGAATGGTTCGTGGGATTCCGAAAATGAGGCCGATGTTGATGATTTGATACCGGGTTTGGTGAAAGCAGTTCTCCGGTTAACAGGTACTCATCATATTCACTTACAGAATTTTTCATAGAAAGTGGATACAGTTTGCTGCTTGGTTACTGTTGCTTTCAGTGTTAAAATTTAAGTTGAATTGTTGGCTATTTGACTAAGTTTTATTTGTGTATTTGATAAAATTTAGTTGAATAATAATGATATTTTAGAGTTAAAGAAATCGTGAATTAATGTAAGATAATAGTTCTAGTTCTTTTCGTAGTTGTGGGAGTTCCTTTCTCTGATATAAACTGTATGCTTTGGCGGATTAGTTTTGGATTAAGTAGCTCTGAAATCTCTAAATGTGAGATATCACAAGACAGAGACTATTTTATGGCTGTATGTAGAATTTCTTTATGATGCAAATAAATATTGGTGACGTTTTTGGAAATATTTATTTCATTTTGCTCTAATTTATCTCTCTCTATGAAATATAGTAATGGTTTTTTGTTCTGAAACGATTTGGGTGCATGAAGGTTACTCTGCACTATTAATGTGTCAAATAACATAACATAGTTGATCACTGTTTAAGTTATAAAGTTTCCCTTTTTCTTTTTTTCCTTCTAGGGGATGGGGGATTAAATCCGCATCTTGTGCTTCGCATTACATGGACCTACTATTGAACCAAATTCTCAAGTTCTAATATTTTCTTGTCAAGTATTGTTCCTTTCATATTTGACTTGGATCAGGCCAAGGGAATTGAATGGGCGACTAGAATAATCATTTGAGGATTAATAATGCGAATAAACCATTGTTTATGGTTGGAGCCTGTCTTTAACAAGTCTACCACTTATATAATTAGAGCTGACACTGTTTAAATTTCCAAATATTGAAACTGAACTCAGTTTACCTACTGCTTTGATGGGTATAATTATTGGTACAAACAGGGTAAAGGTCTTGGAATCACATTATGATAAAAAAATGCAAATGTAAAAATGCTCCCATAACTTTGACTACTATGTTTTGTCTTCTGAAACATAAATTTGTTTCCATTTGCAATGTTTTACATGATATTGCTGCATCCATAGAAAATATTGCAATAGTAAATAAGTGAGGTGGTGCTCATGGTTAGAAGGAAAATATTTGAAGCTATTATTTTCTTATAGTATTATATATTTGCCTTCAGCAAGGACCCATATTGGGTATTTACAGTTGGATGTTGTGACAGTTTGTTTTTATATGGTTATGTTATTCGCATGCAAAAGTTTGAATCTTTGTTTGAAAGTTCACTTTTCTATGAAGGACTAACACTAAGGCAACCAAATCAACCTTCAAATCAACAGAAGAACCTTTTGTAGTATTAGAGTCGGCTTCAGACTCTGAATATGATTCCTTCACAGCACCCGCAGAACCGCCACAAGAACCCAACCTGTTCAATCTATCTGAAGGAACAAAACTTCATGGTTCTTCAAATGCTTCCCCATCATCGAAGCCTCCTCCAAAACCAGCACAAGTTTTGAAGGAAGATAAAGGTTCTTCTACATCCATTAGCAAAAATAAAGGTCAATATCCGTTATTCTTTTGCCTTTCCATCATTAGTTTTTTAACATTGAGATGATTCATGATGCAGTAAAGAGTTCAGGTGCATCTCCAATAGATGAACTTGAGGACTTCGCGATGGGGCGAATGCATAATAAGGTTAGTAGATCTGAAGGAGCTGATGATGCTACAAAGAAGACCCAACAAAATACAGGGGATGATCTTGAAGCCTTTTTTGGTGTAAGTTCCAGATCCAGTAGTGTTCCAAAGCAAAGGGAAACAACTTTGGTGAGCACCACAGATATAAAAAACTACCCTCACTTTTCTAGCAACTGCAGAATTGTGTGTTGATATTGTTTCCTTTCTTGCGTGCTGATCAGGATCCCATATTTGGTGTAAATATTCCGAACAGACAACAAAAGTCATCTGGAGGGGCATCATCCACCGCAAAGAAGCCTTCTTCTTCTTCTGCTACCATGTCAAATGGAATAGATGACCTTTCTTTTATTTTTGGAGGTATACAATTCATGAAATATTTAAATGGTCTTTTCCTAGTACTGAAACTTATCTTTCCACCATATCTCTTTGATATTAATGTTTTCATGATCTTTTTTCCCAAAAGCTGCCCCAATGTTTGGAGAGTTTGAGGAACTTGACGGTGAAAGTGGAGAAAGACGAAGAGCTAGGTTGGGACGTCATCAGAGGACCCAAGATCGAGTGGTGTGCATTGTTTTCTTAACATAACTTTAATCTTATTTCTTATTCTTCGTTTGACAGGCTTAAATAAAATTAGAAGTATGAAATGGAATTTGTTGATGAGAAAAATGTACATATAGGAGTCGATGTTGGTATACATTTCTTTTCTTTTCTCAGTTATTCAATATAGACACATTCAAGTGATAAATGTGCAAACTATGGGCACCAATAGGTTGCCAGCAACAAAATTTGAAGGAAACACTAGCATCTTAAATCTTCCATGGACTGTTGATTAAAGCAGTTTTAGTAGTCATAAAATGAGATATAAGTAGTGTCCTGAATATGCGGATTTCCTTGATGTTTGTCACTATGCTTAATTTCTATCATAAACTGTTTTCATCATCATCAAGCTTGATACCCGAATTGCAACTGACCTGACCATTTTGGGATTGTGGGTGAGACTTGCCCATTTCATCTTGATTTCAATCATGCATTATGTCCAGGCAAAATTGTCAGGAAAACACTTCTATTGGCACCTGTTAGAATCAGCTATGTAGATGTCTTGTTTGTTTAGGAGTCTTTTATAATAAGAATTAATAAGTCTTAGTAGTCTTTGTAATTTCTATCTCTAGATAGAATTTTATCTTTAGCAGAAAAGTCCTATTAGAAGTCAGCAACTTAGTTTTTTTTAAAACTATTGTAATCTCCTAAATTCAATAATCAGATTTTTCTTTCATTACCTCTTCTACTCACACCATTCTTTATATCCTTCTCACTTCTCGTTTCAGATTAAAAAGATTATACATATACTTTTTTGCAAGGCATAGTTCAACAGTTGGATTGTTTTTGTGCTAGGCAAGAGCAGTTGCTGATATGAACCAGCGTGATCGTCAATCACAGAATGAGCAAGAAGAGAGGCATGTAAGTGGTTCACTGATGTATTAACCGTAGTCTTGTGGATTACATACAGATGGTAGTTTTACTTCTTCATGATTAAATTCACTTTGCATGCCTTTGACCAACTGTATTCATAAGTTATTAATTTTGTCTACTTAGTTATTTTACTTGGTCTTAATTTCCATAGAGGATCGCTGAAGCTACGGATTTTGAGATAAAACGCTGGGCTGCAGGGAAAGAAGGTAATATGCGTGCACTTCTGTCATCGTTACAACAGGTGTGTGGGGTTTTTTTTTTTATCAAATTCTCACATTCTCTGTGTTTACCTCTAATAAGAATTTGGAATCATTATTGAATGTCTAGAATTTGTAGCTTATTAGCTTGCATCACTAACTATTTACTTAAAACTAACAGGTACTTTGGTCTGACTGTGGATGGGAGCCAGTTTCGCTGACGGATTTAATCACCTCTGGATCTGTTAAAAAGGTTTATAGAAAGGCCACATTGTGTGTCCATCCTGATAAGGTTCAGCAGAAAGGTGCCACCATTGAACAGAAATATATTGCTGAAAAGGTTTTCGACATTCTCAAGGTACCGAATGAATCTCATTACTATGGGAAGGTAGTATATATTTAATATGAGATCTTTCCATATTGAACACATCGCATCATCAGTCCTCGATGAAGTAATAGGTCGGCACTCATCTTTAGTGTGATGGGTTCAGGACTCTATTTTACCCCGACTCCTTATTTTCCCCAAAGTATCATTGTCCGATACCCGACACATATTTAGACATGGGTATGGTTATGTAATCTCTCATAGTCTGTTTTATATGCTTGGAAACAGGAAGCTTGGAACAAGTTCAACAAGGAAGAACTTTCTTAAAACTAGGAATGTACCCCCATCCGAAGAAGCAAGCCACTTGTACTTGGCACTCATACGGGTTCGTTTCAGAAAAGTTAGTTCAAGAACAGACCCCCCCCCCAAAGTGTTAATGGTTGTCATTTGTGTATACGACACTGTTCATACAGCACCTTCATTGGTTATGGAACTTGGAGAGCTGATAGGCTTTTGGTTAGCAGTAAAACTTTAGATGTATGACTGTAGATTTTAATGCATCTTCAGGAAGCAATAATGGCTTCTTTTTTGCAGACTAGTTTGCCTTATTATCTCTGCGTTCGTTTCATTACCAAGGCAAAGCGAATATGGAATATTAACCCAGAGGCAGCAACACTATAATAAATTAATAATAGCTTCATAGAATAATAGCATCAGCAAAATTTCAAAGAAATCGCTGAAATATGAATGATTATGTCTCCCATTGTTTTTACAAAGATAAATTACTCTTTTGGTCATTCAACTTTGTTTTTGTTTTGGTTTGAGCACTAGTTTTTTTAATTTCATTGTCAAGCTTTCAGATTTCACTTATTTTGGTCACTCTGTCATTAGATCTTCAACGTCGTTAAATTATAGATAGATAGATCTTCAACGTCGTTAAATTATACCTAAATAGACAGATTGATGGATAGAAGACCCTTAAAACTTTCCACCTAAAATTCTATGAAATTGAAAGCATTTTCTTTCAAATTCAAATGATGGAATTAGAGCATTTTCTTTCAAATTAAAATGTGAGAAGGTTAAGAAGGAGAATTTTTATGTATTCAGATTTCATATGACAACGATGGAGATTGTAAATCAAAATAAAATAAAAATTTTATTTTAATTTTGTTGATTTTAAGAGGATTTCTAAAAAAAGTCAAACTAATAAAACGATGAGAAAAGAAAGAAACATTTTGATACTAATTACGTCACAAACGATGACCAATGACAATCAAACGAGAATAAAAAAGATTATCAGTCATGGAAGAAGATTAAAAATTTTGGAAAATTTTAAAAATAAAAACCTCAAAATGCAAATTTTTTTCATGGAATATTGGTTCTAGTTCCATTTCAATCCATTTTTTTTCCTTAATGGCGAAGAATTATGAGTTGATTTGCAGCAGCTCCATGATTTTCAAGGGTTTATCTTGTTAGAAAACAATCAAAAGCATACCTAAATTCTCTGCTCAAAATTATTAATTACTTTTTGTGAAAGCATCCCGAGTCCCCCTTATCATTGGAGATTCTTCTCTAAAACCCCCAAATTATCTTTATAAAGTGATCATATTAAACTGAATCTGAAGAAGTTTCAACCAACAATTTAGTTAAATAAAACAGTATACTCTTTAAATAAGGTCATAGATTCGATGTTGTAAATGAAATGTATTAGATTAGAAAGAAGTTTATATAATAAATCTCTATAGTATTTAATTTAAATTAATTGAATAATAAATCGAATATAATAATTAACTAAAAATATGAAAGTTTTACATTTTACTGTCATTCGGCAAAGTGGGCAAAAGTACCCAGATAAGGCATTGATTTTTTTCTTCTGTATATTATAATATATTTTTTATTTTCTCAATTAGAACAAAGTGAATAGTATTCGAAGAAGTCGATCAAATGATATGACCTTTTTTTTAAAAAAAAGGCCAGACGTAGGCTTGTTCATATACAAATGTGATATGTAACACGTCATATGGCTCTAAAATTTGGGGCCACACACATGAATGGCACTCAGCCTGTCTATGTATAACATTTGTGTCCTAACAACATTTTTCGTTCTAAGGGAAAACAAATTTTCAGTTTCGTTATCAAGAAAGTGATACATAAAGTTATAAACGAAGATTTTGATAATATCTTTAATCGTTTTCATGATAAATTTTGGTAAAAATACCTCATAGATCCTTTATAATTTCATATTTGACAAATTAATCATTGTTATAAAATATTTTAGGAGTCACACTTTAAAAAATAGCATACGACCTGCGGCATCTTTTGGGATGTGCTTGGCCGGACAATATGACGTCTTTCAATCTTCATGCATGACCTAGCATGAGCGTAAACTTCTCAAGCCGTCGCTATCGTGTAAAAGACGTGTAGAAGAGGCCTTGTAATTTCGACGTCTTCCTCGAAGACGATCTATAACTCTTACGTCTTCTCCGACGCCCTATAAAAAGAATCTTATTTGAAAAAATAAACTTCGACTATCATTATTTTGATAATTTTTATTCTCACTTCACTAATTAGCTGATTTTACCGGCAAAGTGGGAATAACACCCAAAAGGGCCAACCAATGGCTACTCTCAACCCACTACTCTTCCCGGGCCTACCACTCAAGGGGAGGCCCTAAAGCGTCCCTAGGCGGCTATCTCCGCCGCTTAACTTCCATCTCCAACAACCACACGGACTTCACATTCTATCACCTGTGCTGCTACTTAACTTTTAGAAGGAAACAGGAGACAAGATTGAAAGGAGATGCCAGTTCTAAAATTATTCAGCCTTGAAATTGAAGCAAATATTGATCACCAACAGGTTGACTTTAATAATCAGTTCTATAAAATACTTTGGCTAATAATTACTTCCATGAATATAGCTTTTACATGATAAACAAATCCTGGTTAGTTTCTCCAGCTTTCTATTTTTAGTAATTTTTCCCCAAATTGCTAGCTTGTATGAAAAAAGTTGATACTGTTTTATGTTCAAAGTTGTTCATTTTGCATCGACTGATGGGGAAAAGTTACAAGTTGAAACTGTGAAACATGGTCGAACAGTACAGGGAAAAAAAGCGAGAAGAAACTGCTTAGCAGTAAGTGGTAGTTTAACAACAATAATTCTGCCTTCATTTGAACGTCTTTTTAACACTAGAGATTAGTTTTCATTGCCTTTTGAACCATCCATGAGCCATGGGATATGAGTCTGATTCGACCGAACTAGTACGAGGTCGAAAACGGCTTATACGACTTGAGATCGAGCATAATCCCTGCAATGGAACCTGCAGCGGCAGCTATGGTGATTATAAGGCAAGCAACGCTGAGGATTTGGAGGCAAAGCCATCTTTTGCTCCATTTTGGTATCATCTTTTGAGAAATGTACATCTCTACTGGGAAGTAAACTGTGAGTGGCCAGAATCCAACAGCCCCAAGCAGTCCAACAATGTCATTAAAGAAGGGAAGCAGCATGGAGATCAAAGTTGTTAATATCACAAAAACTGTCCTCCACACCAACCGGAAGAGGTTGAGGTTGTAAGGGCGAAATCCGGGGACAGGTATCTTGATATCTTTGGTAACAAATTCTCTATCGTGGAACCTTTCCACCGCCGATTTCTCAATGAAGGAGAAAAGGGGTTGACAGTAAACTTGGTATGCACCAACGAGGTGAATTACAATGGCAGCATTAGCAACGTCAAGGAGCCAGAATGGATTATAGAATCCGAAACCGGTTAGAAGGTTCCCGGGGGGGGGACGAGTCTCCGAAAGCAGCATATCCCATGCAACCACACAACATGTAGAAGACGGTTGTCACTGCAACACTTAACAGAGTTGCCTTCTTCATCGTTTTCGATTCTGCCGGTGGAGACTTAAGCGTGTCCTGTCGAAAGTACCATATTGTTAACCTCATGCTTCATGGCCTTATCAAGTAAACAAGTTATTCTAGTTCAACAAATTGTTAACCTGAATTTCAATGAATATAAGGGAGTAAGAAAAGGCAAAAGCTATGTCTCCAAGTGCCTGGAAGCTCTTCCATATCTTGTGTTTGAGTGACAGTTTCAACAGTTATCCCAGTCAACCTTCCCCTAATTTTCCCATTTGCTGGTAAATTAACCAAAAGAAACACCTGAAAATCAGCAACATCATACCAGGTTGCATATTTAAGTGTGTATAGGAAGTTTTTAATAATACCTGCAACTTGAGCGATTCCGAGTCCGAGTCCAATGGTCGAGTAAGTGAAGGACATGACAGCAGCAACAATGGAAAGCCACCATAATTGATCAAAGTCAGGAATTTGAGAGAAAATGATTTCAACAATGCCAAAAGCAATCATATAAGGGTTGCTATTCATGTGGCATGGGTTTTTTCCACCACTGGCATGGAAGCAATTAGACCTTTTGATAGCCCTGTTATACATTCAAAACCTCAAACCTGTTAGCCCAAACAACTACAGAAAACACAAACTAAAGAAGAAAGCAAACATCTCTGGATCATTGTGTTAAGAAACTCACATCATGCTAATTGATGATGCAATTGTGTACCCAATGGCAACTCCAAAAAGGTTCAAGTATTGAACCCACCCACATATTTTGACCTTAAACCCACCTAAAAAGTTATTTAAAAAAAAGGTTAAAGTTTAGAAGTTGAGGAAGAAGTAAGAAGCACATTTGTTAATGCAATTAAAAGTTTATTTTTGGTGTACCAAGATTTGATCTGACAGCTTCCATGTAAGTATAGTTTCTCTTGCCATTGACAGGGTCGTCACCGTAGCGGTAACAAGCAGCGAGAAGAGTAGAGGTGTAGTAAGTTACAAAAGAGAACAAGAACATGACTGCCGGAGCAGCAATCCATCCGAGCTGAGCTGTGGCCCAAGCCAGGGACAGGACACCAGAACCAATCACAGCTGTTATAATATGAGCACTCGCTGTCCATACAGCTCCTGCCAAAGAAAAAACAGTGACATAAACAGACAGCAAAGGGATGTTGTTCCAAAACTTGCTGGAAGTGAAGTTACCTGTTGCCGGATGGGGAAGGATGTCGTTGGATATAGGAACGGATGTCGCCGGAGAGAGTGATAGATGGAGATGGAATGAGTTACGATTTAGGGATTTAGATTATGAGTTGATGCTGCCGCGTAGTAGTTATATACACATTTGTGTTGCGAAACTAAAACCTGTTGCGAATTTGAAATTCAGTGATGCGTTAGTCAGAATCACGTTGCGATAGTCAGAATCGCGTTGCGATCATGTCAGAATCGCGTTGCGATAGTCAGAATCGCGTTGCGATTTACATATTCGCATTGCGATTTACATATTCGCATTGCGATTATCTAAAATCGCAACGCGGATTTCGAAAATCGCAATACGATAGTCAAAATCGCGTTGCAAATCTGGAAACTGAATTGCGATAATGGAGATCGCGTTGCGATTTAGAGATCGCATTGTGATTTTGTTGGTCATTTTG